ACTTTCTTTTTATATTACCGGTTGGAATTTACAAGCAAGTAAGATAATAATTGAAGATATTCTAATGTTCTTTTTTCATAATTTAGTAACTCAAACTTCTAACTTTAAAAAATATTTTTTAATGGCTTAAAAATAATAAACAGGAAAAAAAAATGTTTTGTTTTGTTTGAGTGTCTTATTCAGAGGGAAAAAAAACTCTATAACTGCAGCAGATGTGATTTAATCCTGAATTTAACTAAATTAAAATAGAAAAAGAAAGATAATGCAAACAATCACAATACTCAAATTTTTGTAATTATGTTTGCATACTGTGTTTTTTTACAGTTTTACCAGACCCCAAAAACTCACTAAACATATTGAATAGAACATATTGAATTTACTGAAATAGAACTACAAAATTGAAAAATCAATAATATAACAGGGTTTACTCAAGCTTAGCATTATGATGCTTTATGCATCACCCTCCTTTTTTTGTTAATTGCCTCATAAATGTTTTGTTTAAATACAACACATTACAGTTCAAGTACTGCAAAACAGTATAAACAACTCTCACTTGTTTCCATCAACTGGCCGTTAATTCCATTTTTTTGAGATAAGCTAACTTACAGCCATCAAGAATCAATATGGCAAAAACATATAAATAAATATAGAGTAGATAAGGATTCTTCCAACAGCCGTTGGCCGAGTCCCACTTGACACACACAATGCTGACTACTTCCAGGCGAGCGGAGATCCCGGCGTAAAGAGGGATGCATCCTCAACATCCTCAGATAACCACAAGGGCATGTTAATAACCTTAAAGTGCTACATTACAGCAACAATTAAACAGAGGGATCCCAGGGGCGTCGCGATCCGCCGTGTTACTGTCTGCGCGAGGGCCAACACATCTCTCCCATCTCCATTTATTTCCCTAAGAAATCAGCGGGGCCACCTGGGCCCGGCATCGAAACTTCATTCATCTCCAGGAATGGATTCCAGCGCAGGGCAGAATCAAATTCTCATTTGCAAAAGGCAAGGGGAGAAAGGGAGGGAGTGAATGCAGGAGGTACCTGGAAACGCTAACCTCTGGGTGAACCCGCCGCATCTGATAGTTTTGCTATTTGTCTGTGACATTGACAGCTCGGGGGGAGATTAGGAGCCAACCCTGCCCTGGCTTCCCCACTTTGCATTCTGCCTATGTGCCTCTCTGCAGATGGACTGCTGCACATTTGCCTTCGCCTGTTTTCCCTGGGTTTCGCCGCTACACCAGAGGCGACCGGGGGATGTAATTATATGCAATGCAACAATAAAACAAAGCAAATGAGGGGCGAGCTGGATCAGAGGGGCTTAAAAAAAACAAAAAAACAACAACAAGCGGATGCAAAAAAAAAAAAACGCCACGGTGTGGCTTGCGGTGGTGGGGGTGAAGCCGGAGATGAAAGTGATGGATGCCCTTCGGTTAAATACGTCCAAATCCCCCCTTCCAGCCGCTCTCTTCTTGCCAGGCAGCGTGAATGAGTGTGCGAGGGAGAGTGTACAAGATTAATAGTGTAAACAGCGAGGGAGAGAGGGAGAGAAAGGCAGCAGGGAAAGAGAGAAAGAAAAGACTATCAGCATCTGCAGCAGCACAGTAGCCCTCGGGGAATAGTGTGAACTTTTGAACCCTGGTGGCGAGCAGTCGCAGCGATGCACAGAGCCTGCTCCTGCCTCCTCGTAATGTGTGTGTTTCCAGAAAAGCACACAGGCTTCACCAGAGAGAGAGAGAGAGAGAGAGGAGTGAGGGAGAAGGAGAACGACTGGAGGTCATTAACATATTCCTCGCTTCCTAAACGAGCTGCTGCTATTCAAATGTCAAGAAATCCATACACAGTCGAATCCAGCGAGAAATTTATCTCCACTTCAGTTGGATGTTCTGACGGACAGATACAGTAGACAGCTATCGGAGAAACTCCAAAGAAACTTCCTGACTGATGGGCGGCCTGCGACAGGAAGGCCGATCAGTCACGCCGCTCCGGACTGGAGTGCTGCAGACAGGTCACAGGTTGGTCGTGCAAAAGGTCAAAAAAGGTTGAGAGTTGAGTGTGTGGGCAGACGGCATGACGGCAGGTCGACAAACCTGCCAAGAGGTCAGCTAAGCAGAACTGAAATACTGTCCAGGTGCAGCGTGCAATTGAGGAAAGAAGCGGCAATAAATCAGCCAAGTTTCATCACTTATTCCTACTTTCAATGTAATTTCTTTCTTAATGAAGCATCCGGAAACACAGTCCTTCTCCATGACTTCATTCAACTATAAAAACACAGACATGGGGCCAGTCGGCAATTTAAACACTACTGATTAACTCTGTAATGGTGCACCAATCTGTCAGCTGGCAACATTCTTTTCCCTCCTCTCGCCAGCCAAGAGACCCGGGCACGCGTCCCCAAGCACGCACTTCACTTCATACGCCTTCCTACGGCTGCAGCCAAAAGGACAGAAATGTAGATTTAATATTCTATTTACCGGCACTGCGTAATAATGGTGTTACTGTGCAGTGGCTCCTCGTATTCACGTGAGAAATATGCAACAATGTGGCATAAATTCAAATTGGTTATCCTGCTGCATTCTATTGCAAGTAATTGGTTTAGGAAATTGCGTTGGTAAAGTAATCACTGACAGTAGGTCACATTACTGCTTTCTTACAATAGGAAAAACTGAACGCAGCTCCCTTTAGTGCTGCTATTGTCAACTGATTAACGACCACGAATTATTCAGCAACTATTTTGATCGTTGAGGTAATTTTTCTGGTGAAGATACCAAACATTCCCCAGTTATCAAAATGTAAGAATGTGCTTTCCTTTGTCCAAAACCTACGAATATTCATAAAGAAAATAGATTTTTTTTTTTTTAATCACCGTAGCATTTAGGTCATTTTGACATTTATCATTTGACATTTTATTCAGACCACCTGCCCAATATATTCAATGAAATGAATGAATGGAATCTTAAGTATCAGATAACATTTGCCAGATTATACACAGTAACCACCACAGTAACACAGTAACAGTAACCACAGTAACCTTATACAAAGTAACATGATACGAGCAGAATACAACAGGATGTGTATAAATACCACACCCACACCTGAGCAGAACGCAGGCTACACGGTGCGCCGGAATAGAATCACTGCGGCCGCAGAGACGCATCCCGAGCGTCGTCTGCTCTGAAAGGGCACTTTCACGCGGTGCTCCGTTATCGCCACAGCTTCCAAGCAAACATCCCCGAGTGCCCAGCGGCGCTCCACCAATCAGAGAGAAACAAACAGGCCATTTGAAACTTCGTCAGCTTGACCTGCAATCACCACATCTCCAGCTGTCTGCAGGGGTCTATACGCATGTGTGTGTGTGTGTGTTAAAGGACGCCGGAGGGATAAAATATTATATTTGTTGGTGCATGCTAAATGTATTGGAATGGCAGTGTGTGAGAGAGGGGGAGAGAGGGAAAGAGAGGGGTGGAGGAGGGTGACGGGGGGGGGGGCAAACAAGGCTTGGGGTGAAGCTGCATGCACGGTCAGGTCACCGGTGCGGTCGGCGGGTGAAACTCAGTTCACATTACCATGCAGACGACCCGGGCTCAACAATGGAGGCTCCATCTGTTCCCGTCAGCCATTACAAATGTTGGTGTCAGCCAGTCCGCAGAAGACAACGGGCCGCCGCATGTAATCAAACGGAGCGGGCTCCTTCCGCGCGCAGGAGCAGCCCTCCACTTCACACTCACTCACTCTCTGGTTAGGGCACGGAGAGCAGCCGATTACCGCGGGTAATACATCCTCCCAGTCACAAAGTCGCTTTTGTGTACAGTAGCCTCGGATAAAATGATACAATTAAACTTGAGAGGCTTAGGGGGGGGGGGGGACGCAACTCCTTCAGGTCGAATGCTTTTTCTTTAATTTACCGAATTACTTTTCATTTCGGCAAACAAAGGTGCCGATTCTTTGCATTTAAAGGAATAACACATAATTGAAATCGTCACCATGGATGATCGTTCCTCCCAAAAGAAATGCGGCTGATTTCATTAAGTGGTCGTGCCATTATTTTCCACCAACACTCCCTCTTCCATTGAACGGCAAAGAAGTGTGAGCCGACTCTTTCTACTGGCAGTGAACAGAGAACGAACTATGAACTCCACATGCCCTTTTCAGCGAGGACACAGGCCATTCACTACGACAACTCAGTCGCAGCAATAAAAAAATAACTCAGAAGCTGTGAGGCGTGAATTTGTCTTACGGAATCAGATGTTATGATTATTGATCCAACAGTAAAACGAGTTGTTTTTCTGTAGTTGTTTATAGTGTCGAGGGACATTCGATATTCAAAAGCAAAATGCAAATTAAATAAAAAAGATTCTGGAAGTGCAGAATAATTGGCTATTCCTCACGTTTAACGCCAACAACGGGTTTTAACAACTATCGCTTCCACGGTAACAGACGGCGTTGTTTTTGGTTCAGCGTGTTATCGTTATAGCCTTAAGGGCATTTTTTTTTACAGCCTTTTATTCTTTTATTTGTTTTTTCCCCCCAAGCAAATCTCGCTTTGTTTATTCTAAAATAAGCAATTCAAAGAAATGAATTATCATTGCCTTCCACCGTCTGCCCTGATTTATTTACTAAGGTATTTTTCAAAAGGTGCAAAGAAGCAGTTAACCGTTCTGTGGGCAGAAGGAGTTTGTTTTTATTTATTTTTCACTATATCCAGCTAGCATTTGACTAACGGTGTCTCAAAACGACTGCAAACAGTGAGATGCCCTCATTGGGAAACTCCACGTGATTCCAACTTCACCTTCGGGAGAGACGCTTAAAAGAAAAGGAAAGCACAGCGTACAGAAGAGGCCGGGGTCAATAAATGCCCACCTGCGGCATGTCACGTCAAGGGCTATTAGCTGGCACATAGTCAGAAATAGTCTGAAAAGGAGGGCAGGCCAAGTCCAAGAAGGGAAGATAGAGGGAAAGATTGATAAAGGGAGAGAGGGATGGAACACACATGGCCCCTCAGGTACAGTGTTGTATTTCAAGCCCGGTTGTGAAAGAATAGAGGGGCTCGGGGTCAATCAATCACGGCATTAGCCCGCGGCTACAAAGCCTCCTCTCTGTGTGGCCCGCCTCCCACAGTCCACACGCACAGCTCTGGGGGACGGATCGGGAGCCGGGGATCTGCCACTGGAGGGAGCTCTAGGTCGCCAATCGAGGCCTCTGAACTCCCCTTTTCTGCTCTGGCATCAGGACTTGCCTACCTGCCTACATTAGGAGGAGGAGGAGGAGTCACTGATGTCACTGGAGCCAGGCAGAGAGGTAGGAGGCCAGAGCAAGAGGAGGGGGGGTATTTTCAAATTAACAGGGCGAGCAACAATATGCAGCAGAAGGGTTTGACGGTGCTTCCTGTGGCGAGGTGTAGGTTGCATGTTGGAACGGATTTTTTTTTTTTTGGAGGAGGAGGAGGAGGAATAACACATCGTCTCCTGTGACACCGACTCCTCCTTCTTACCTTTTCCTTTGTTGGTGCCGCATTCCTCGCACACTGTCGTCTTTCAACATGTTCACACAGATAATATAGACAGGTCACCCTGCAGTGACCTTGATCAAAGTAGATGGTATGAAATGTATACAGATGTGATCTAATCGTAAGAAGTTAAAATGCAATATTATTGTCTTTTAAATTGACCTTTTGATGTTGTAAAGAAGAAGCCATCAGTAAATAGACATAAAGAACAACTTTTTGAACTAAGATCTCTGCAATAGCCTAAGATGTCTCTCTCTCACACACACACACACACACACACACACACACACACACACACACACACACACACACACACACACACACACACACACACACACACACACACACACACACAGGGAATCAGGATCAGGACTGTTGTTAACTCACCTCCATCATCCTGGTAGTCAGAGGCATCGTCCGATTGGGCAGAGGGACCCAGGCTGGAACCGTCGTCATCCCTAAAGCCCACTGTGTGTGTGTGTGTGTGTGTGTGTGTGTGTGTGTGTGTGTGTGTGTGTGTGTGTGTGTGTGTGTGTGTGTGTGTAACGGAGAAACAAAAAAATATGATGAATAGTTTGTACACTTCTACAAGAGTACCAAGAGCACACAGACATACACTGGCTGCTGAAACTGCTCACGTGTAGAATCGTCATATGCAATATGAGATTAATTTTGACTTACATGGGGGGAAGGGGAATTCATTAGGGTGTCTGTAAGAAAAAAAAGAGAAATTAGGATAATCATGTTTTAATATCTTTTTATTGCAAAACAGGTCTGTGCTTTCGTTTGCCAAATGACTGAGCTTCAGTATCGCTTTAAAAATGTCAGCGATCGTTTTCTTGCACAGAAGACCACAAAACCACAGGTTTTCAGTACTCGAGCACGCTTGTATCTAGCGGAAGAGGAAACCGTTTCCGGAGTGTGCATGTGACTTTGTGTGTGACAATTTTTTTAGAGAGGTTCATACACTGTTCATAATATAATCATCTAATCAAGATTATTAAATGCTAATGTGATATTATTTCATATATTTCATTATTTCAAGGGCGACCGTGGGTGAGTGGGGAGCACGGTCGTCCTCTAATCAGAGGGTTGTCGGTTCGATCCCAGGCCCGGTTAACCCGCATGTCGTTGTGTCCTTGGGCAAGACACTTAACCCAACATTGCTCCTGTAGCTGCGACTACAGTGTGTGAATGGTAGTTACTGATGGCAGGTGTCACTGTGTATGTTCTCCTGTCATCAGTGTATGAATGGGTATGAATGGGTGTGAATGGGTGAATGATGTCATGTGGTGTTAAAGCGCTTTGAGTGGTCAGAAGACTAGAAAAGCGCTATACAAGTACAGGCCATTTACCATTACCATTTACCATATTAGCATTTAATAATCCTGATAAAAACAGAGATATTGAAATGCTTTTAACAACAATAAATAAGAATGAGCGTGAAGTCTTGAAAGTGACACCATTAAACCCAATTAGTTCATTTGGCCAACTGGGTTTAGAGTAATTACAGCAGAAATGAAGGTTGTTGTTTGATATTAACAGAAAAAGGGATACAATGGTGCTGTGAATATACAATTTACCAAACACTGATGTGACACCGCTTCTGTAGGTACTTTCTGTAGTCCATTTACAGTAGATCTCTATCGGTATCCTACAGTATTTTATAATAGCTGTAACATAGAGTCAAATGTTCATCCCTTGCATGTAAATTAACAGTATTAACATACTGATACAGTATCTTTTGTGGTGGTGTAAATACGCATCCTAAAACCAGTCATCTACTGTATATTGTAGGTTAATGTGTTTGTAATGAAACTGTTCATTGCTTAAAAGTCATTTTTGAGTGACAAGACGTGACGTCAGACCGCGTAACCTCAGTTCATCCTGAGCACCTTTCATGTGTTCAACGGAGGACCTCGTCTCTACAGGTAACGTTAGCTTCTCATACCAATTATTTTTTGTCTTCATTATTATTGGACTGTTAAAATCTTAAAATAACGTTTCACATGGTCTGTTTCGTCACATTGGGTTAACATTACTAATCCTGATGGAGCTAACCCTGTGACATGAGCTAAGCTTAGCTAACGTTAGCTAACAGCACAGCAAGTTAACGCTACGTTAGTGCTATTATTAGTAGTCAACTTTAATGTTACTATTAATAGTTAATACTCTTATTTAAACAAGCGGAAAAAGCATCTTGGTTAAAGTGTTGGGCTCTGAATTCTGTTAAGAGAAACTTTTACTTTTAAACCATCAATGTATCTTAACGTTAGCTCACTTGTTTGTCACGTGTTAGCTCAGCGTTCCCCTTTGGACCTGCCGACGATGGGTGACGCTGTGAATTTGTGTCTTTATTATACTAACAACATGAAAGTAAATTGCTGCTACATGTAAAGTAATTTTGACAAAATACAAGGTCCACTTACATCCAACAGCAACCTCCCGTTAAGTGTTTAATGATGCTAGAAGCAGATTCCGAGTGCCAATTCAAACCCACCAATAGAAACTCGTGGCTCATTCAGCGGCCCCGCCCACTACGTCCAAACTCAAATCGCTCAACGGGCTTTTTAAATAGCAAAAAAAATCTTTTGAGGGCTAAATATTTTTATTTTGCTGTCAGATATTCCAGTTTCCTAAGCAAAACCAATTCTCAAATCATATTTTTACTTCAAACCATTTTTTTATTACAATAGAAGAGATTTCCTCTCAAGACAGTTTTTTCTTTGCATAAAGACACAAATATACCTTCATGAGACGCGCGCTCTCTGTCCGCTGGTAAAAGCGTGCTGACCTGCGTGTGCTCTCACGTGTCTGCGTGAGAACTACCGTGTGCAGGGAGGAGTCGACAATTAAAAAAGTGTTGGTAATAAAGCGTACCGTAAAATAAGTAGGTTACTGGTGTCCCTGCTGCCAGTAACCCACCATTAATTTACAGTGAAATTGTTTGTTGTTGAGTGTAGAGACCCACTTGATATGGACAATCCTGAAGTTGTTCAGTAAGACGTTTCGTGTCTCTTGGGCCTTTCCCCCGAGCACCTCGTCTTGAAGGACCTCTGATACAAACAGCTCACAGTCTGAAGAAGAGAGAAAACACTGCAAGTGTCTCGATTGTGAAGGATTCAAGCACACACTTTGTATGATCAGGTTTACAATGTTTGAGGATTAGGATACTTTTGCTTACATTTGCTTGAATTATGGACTAAAATAAAATCCCATAATCTGGAGTTGCAGATCATACTGCCCTCTGGTCACTAAATATTCTAACAAACATTTTTAAAGTCTTGTTAAAACGTTTAGTTCCAGTATCTCGATAACAGCTGTACAAAATTTTGCATTCAATCAAAACAACCAAACAGTTATTATACGTTTTTTAGGGCTGTCAATAGAGACTTTGACAGACCTACTTTTTTTGTAAAATACATGTATTTAACCCTAATGCTAAATCTGCCTCAAATTACAAACAGTATATCTTCTTGTGTCCACTGCCTTTAGAAAACACATTCCAAGGGCAGCTGTTTAATGTCAGTGGTTGTTCCTAATAATGATGACTTGTGACTTAAATGTTAAATACGTTATCACATCTTCATGGCCTAAAAACAGGAATGACTCTTTGTGTGGTGGAACCTATGGAAATGAAATACAAATACAAAGACAAAGGTGTGACGTCATGCAGTCAAAGCCTTGTAGAGCGGATTATTTTCTTTCAGTGTGGTATTAAACTCTAAACTTGCTCATAGGTATAAACAGCACGCCACAATGCTGTTACCTACCAAGACAGAACCCTAGTTTGTAAAACTTGGACGGCCACCATAGTTCATCTGATTCCATTTCTTTATGTTCTCCGACGTTACACAACCGGCCCTGACACATGCAAATGTTCTCCCAAAGGCGTCTTTGCTGGCAGCAGTATATGCAAATCTAGTAAAATACTGTACAGTTTACGGTCCAAGTGTGAAGAAATTCTTTTTTTATGTGCAACCAGAAGCAACGGCAACAAAAAAGTGAATAAAGACTCGTTACTTTTTAGGTTTAGCTTGCTCAGTGTGTTCTCAATTAGAATCCTGTCTTTTGAAATGTAATTTTGTTGCGAAAAGAAAAACGTACCTGCTTACAGTTAAAATCTGATAAATAACATGATTGAAGAATAAAACTGCTTTTCAACAAAAAGGATTATTAACAGTAAAAAATAAAAAATATTACCATCCAAAAGCCGTCTAATCTCAGTTGGTAGTGTTCCCATCCCTATCTTTCACCTGTCCAACTCCAGACACTTTGGTTTTCTGACTTTTCACCCTTTTTTCTGCCCCCTCACACTTTTTATTCCACAAGAGATCCTGCTTGCACCAACACTATGTCATACTGTTAGAAAGCCGAGGCAGAAAGAAGAGCCTGGCACAGCCGAGCTTACAATCACCTTTGTCCTCTTCCTCTGAGACCTGACTTCCGTGCATGCAGCTAGATTTGCACAAAAAGGGGTGGAGGAGATGCGCAGATAAAAAGACAACTTCCTCTGCACTTTCGTTTTTCAGTGGAGGGCGGGTGGCGAGGTTTGACTGACACAGAAACTGTGTCTCATTTGGTGGGCTGCATCCTCATGAGGATCACAGTAATTTATGTGAAATCTCACGTCAAACAAGTTCCCGTGGACTCCAGGGGAACTTGTTAGGTCGTGTTCTTGGTCTTGATCTTGTTTTAGACGCAAAAGAGTCTAATCCAAAACAATAACAAAATAACGTGAGAGACATACAGTACGACTACCGGCAGTTTATATATGTTCCTTCAAACTACTGTGTGCAAACACATGGCCAGGTGTTTAAAGGCATGTGTATGTGTATGTATACATATATATGTAAGTGTATGCGTGTGTGTGTTTCTTTTTTCAAGGCTTGTTTGTGGGTTCAACGGGCAGCTCAGAGTCTCTTATTCTCTGAAATGGAAATGATGTGCAACATGCAGATGATATCAACCTGTGAATGTAGGTTTTATGTGTTCAACCTGGTTCATAAAACTCTGATATTGATCGTTTATGAAATAACTGTTCTTCTAAAAGGTTGCTTTGGTCTTTGTCTAGAAATTATTTTTTAGTCATTACCTTAACTTTATGATCTTCAATCAAACCAACCATTTCTATCACATCACAAAAAACGCCTTCTGCTATCTCAAAAACATCGTCCGTCTCCGCCACTCGCTCTCCTCCTCAGCCGCTGAAAACACTCATCCACGCCTTCATCACCTCTCGACTGGACTACGCATGCCGTGCTCGTCTACTCTCCCACACCAGAGATCACCTCGGTCCTCCAAAACCTCCACATTCTACAGCACAGAATCTTGTTCAAGATTATTGTCATCACACATGAAGGCCTTCACAACCTCGGCCCTTCATACCTTTCCGACCTCTTACATCGTCAACCGCAACCTCGGATCCGCCAACACCAACCTCCTCACCCCCCCGCTACGCTGTCCACGCACCGGGCCTGGCGGGACAGGGCCTATATTGTTTTATTATTGTAAGTTGTCTACCATAATACACATCAAAGCTCCACAAGAATAACCAATGTAACTTAACAGCTGAATTATCAAACCAGATAAGCAAAATAGCTTTACAACGTTTGTCAAATTGGGTATCAGAGATTCTCACTTTCAATCTTTAAATTACAATAACCGACACCTAAATCGGCCATATGCTGAACAAATACTTGGGGTGTTTCAGACAACGCGTGAATGCAGCATCATTAAATCGGTCCCTCGGTATGCGGTGAGGTCATGGGTGGTGGATGGTTTATATTAGCAGTAGAGGGTGAACAATGACGGGATGTACTGGACTGGGCTTTTCTATACACGGTTGACATTAGTGTATTGGTGGTGGTAGTAGTGCTAATACAAACAGTGGTGGGTCTGACTATCGCCTTATTGATCCATGTGTGGCTGAAACACTACAAGGAAAGCCGTCAAGGAACCTAAGCTCGATAAGACCCTGCTCACATTGCCAGAATAAACCGGATATCAGTCACAGCTAGGCTAAAGTAATGTGTATTCAAGGTTGTGAGATCATTATTTTGTATCTGAAGGAACACCACACACACATACACAACATGAATTGCTATTTTAAAGACTAAAATGCCTTAGTACTTTAACACAAATTGGTCAGATTGTACCATTTTGAAGCACATCTGAACTTTAATGAACAATAGCCTGGCTGGATTAATGGATGGCTTTTAACGTGTTGTCCCGGGCAGACCAAAGACTTGCCCTGAAACTTTACTCTTTTTTTTCTAGGTGCTGCACCAACCTCAAAATCTTGAGAGTAAAAATGTTCCCTGTTCTAAATTCGTATTCTTATATGAAACGGTGTTTTCCCGCTGGTCTCCTTTGCTGTCGCCTCTCAACAGGAAGCCAAAGGGTCATGGCGAGTTGAGTCCCATGTCAGAATCGTCCCCACGTTGACCTGCGCCTGACTGGCCTCCCAGCAAAAAGCCCCTGTGAAGGTAAGAGGAACTGGGGTCCCCTCCCCTGGAAAAAAGGGTTCCCTCCCCTTGACAGCTCCACAGAGCCCCAGCCACCTGCCTGCTGGGTCGGCCCCATATGAAAAGGGAAGCCCTTTGTAATCCGACGGGGATTACACCACACAACAATGCACCGCTGAAAGAGCGACAAAAGCCCTGTATCAAACGCAGCTGAGGGGGAGCGAGGCTATGATCTCCTGCTACTACCAACACTGACTCCTCCGCCACCTCTCATCCCCCCCCCCTCCTCCTCCATCCTCCCCCCTCCACCCACCTTTAGCATTCGCAGGCCCCTGTCCTCCTCCTGCCCTCTCATCTTCAGGATCTGGCCTTTTATCATCGCATTCCTTTTCATTTGCATTGCGGTGTGGGGAGGGACACCGGGTCTCTCTGATCTGATACAGAGCCAAGAGACTGGGGAGGATCCTCAGGGCATGAAGAGTGTGTGTGTGTGTGTGTGTGTGTGTGTGTGTGTGTGTGTGTGTGTGTGTGTGTGTGTGTGTGTATGTCCTGTCCTACAAACACACACACACAACACATTGAATTCTCAAGATAGGCAGAAACTGTTTTGCAGTCCAGGGGGACAAATAGCGAAGCTCTCATTCCTGTCTTTCAGGCTCGGTCTGTCTTAATCTTTATTTCGGAAAAGGAAGTGACTTCATTGAAGGACATCTCTTTATTTTTAAAAGATACTGTACATTTGCATCCAAATTTTCTTAAATTGCATAAAAATTGAAACTGTAGATTACTCTATTTCCTTTTGTTGTTGAACCATGGCGTAAACCACTGCGTAAGAGCAGGTTCTCCCCTTATCCAATAGCCAATCTCTCAAGTTGGTGCTCAGATGTGACCCTAATACGAACATGTCACCATATCTAAACCCTTGATACAAACAAAGTTGTTCGGCCTGATTCTTAAGGGTCTGTTGCAAATGTTTGTGTTGCTCGAGGAGATAAAAAGAGGTAGTTTACCTTTCGGATTTCCTCAGTATCATTGTATTCCCAACCCACCCATTGCTCAAACATATGTTGGGGAAAAGGGGGGAAGGGCTTTGGTGGCGGCCAAGTAAAAAAAGTGACGATAGATTGAGGACACACAAGACAGAGGAGCAAATGTGTTGCGCTAAATCTACAACCTTCAGCGAGCCGCATATTGACTGACTCGGAAGGGGTTACCTCAGCTTGTACTCAGATCAATGTTAGCTCTGAGAGCATTGAATAGAAAATCATTCAAATTGTATTATGCTAGGATATATGAGCCATTTCAAAATATTAATTCAGCATTATTTGAGGTGTCTGTTAAGGAGAGCAGTTACAGCTCGCAGAGCGTCGACTCGACTGAGCGATCGCACACCTCTATTACACGTGATTTATGAACGTGGGAGAGGGACCTATTTTTCATTACCGAGACATTGTCCCCAGAGGCAGTTGTTAAAGAAGAATCTGTGAATCATCCCCCCCACCACCACCACCCCGTCCCCTCCTAGAACAACCGGCCGCTGTCGTGAGCCGGCGAGAAGGGGAAAGCAGCACAATTCATATCGGAGGGATTGAGAGGCTGGAAGGACGCCAGGAGTGTGTTCGCCCTGCGACTGTGATCCTGCACACCGCCGCCTCTCCCTCTGTCCAGTTAATTGGAATACAAAGCCGAGCGGGGTCGATGAGAGAGCGGTGAGGATGAGGAGGAGGAGGAAGAAAGGGAGGAGGGGGGGTAGCTGCTGTCTGTCTCCAGCAACGCTCAACCTTCACCGCTCGCTGGGAATTGACTCGGGGAGCCGGCAAGCGAGACCGACACACTGTCACTGGTAAAATGAACTGTCACCTTGCATTTCTCAGCCTCCTGGCAGCATCGAATTGGCCGCTTTGAACCATGTGACGTGACACTGATTGAGTTCTGCCCCCCCCTCCTACTCCTCCTGGGCTCTAAAGGAAGAAGCCGGTTTAATTTCCAGTGTACAGCCTCCCCATGCAAAGTTTCCAGGAGGCAGCGAGGAGGCACCCCCCCCCCCGGCCCCTCGCACCAAACCTTCCTCGGGTGCCCCCCATTCTTCCTCACCACCCCTCATTATTTCGCCTTGCTGCTTCGTTACGCCGCCTCTTGACTGGTCTTGTTGTTCTTCTCTGGCGTCATGGCGGACTAACAGGCACATAGGAGGAGGAAAACTGGGGTAGCCATTTGGATCCGAGAGGCAATCCCAGGGAGTATTAAGACGTTAACCCTGGCCAAGTCACTTGTCTCTCTCGGTTACTATGCTGATGGAGAGGGGAAAAGGATGCAGTCACTGGGGGGGGCTTCAGGGCGGCTGGCGCTTCCAGATCCAATAGAGCCTAACTCGGATGGGGGATGGTTGTGGAGAATCTCCCAGCCTCGGCTAAAGAGAGCCGCGGTGCCATAACAAAGGACGAAGAGAGCGTGCTGTTCATAACAAGGCTTCAGCTGGGGATATAAAATGAATATAGATAAATATCTACTGAATAAAGTCACACATCTGACTGTTTTCTTACCTCTAATTTTCCCTGTCGCCTCCTTAAGAAGAGTAAACAGAAGGGTACAGTTTCCATTATAATTAATAATAATATAAAGCGTATGGATATTTAAATACATTGTGTTTTACTTTTTAACAACCATCATGCTGCCTTTGGGTTTAAAAGTCTCTGAAACCTTCTAACAAAAACAATAATTGTCTGATTTCTCGATTGAAATTTGACTGTTTTTAGAGCGGCAAAAAAAACTCAACCAATGAGAAAATTTACGTTCTCATTTTGATTTTATCCACTTCTTTTTTAAAGGATAAAAAAGGACAATCGTTCCATGATTGGAATGTGGGATGATGTGGGAAGGTGCTGCACGATAGGTGAACGATAAGTGGATTTTTAAATGACTTTAATTTGGGCTTTAGGAATTAGGATTGTTTCTCTTAAACAACTTATTAAAGTAAAGAACCTGCAAATTGAATCCATGATGAAGAAAAACGTCATGCGGTTAAAATCCTCTCTCCATCTTGTGAACAACACAACCGTGACCATGATGAAAGTAGGACGTTATCTCTCCATTGCTGAATATATCAGATATTTTTTTATAATATGAATCCAATAAAGTCATTCTGAAAGATTGTCTACATGATAGATTTGCGTTACTAACCTAAATAGCCGTGTTTGATAACTAGCAATAAAAGCGGCTGTTGTATCTCCTCGATGGCCATGCCCCCCCGTTATCCCATGAATACTGTATCTGGCTCCCCTTTGAAGCCCCGGGACCCTGCAGAGTGACATGCGACAGAGGAACTGGTAGAAAACCAAGGAAGTGAGCATGGCAATAGACTTGTAAAAGAGCCTGCAACAACTGCGAGCGGCATGGGGTACAAACAGTACTGGCTTGACCTCAAACAGAGCGCAGGGCGAGGCGCGAGGGCTAAAGATGCGTAAGATACCCGAGGAGAGAGAGGTCGGCCTGTCGTGTGTATTAATAGACCTGGTGTTTGTGCAGTCGGCTGATCGTGCCGCTGCAGAGCTTTTGATTATTTTTTCTGCCATCATAAATGATCTTCCCTCTTGTCCCTCAGTGTTCATTAACCACCCTCTCCTCTCCTCTCCTCTCCTCTCCTTGCCCTACAATCTGCCGGCAGAAGGCGGAGAGCTGAATCCGAAGGTGAAAAGCATCCTCCCCCTCCTCCCTCCCATGCTGAACATCTGTCTCTGCGGTGTTGGCTGCAGCACCGACTCTGACACCTCCAGATGGAGAGCCCGCTGGGAGCGCTGAGGTATTACCTACCGAGGTGGCAGGGATCACACCTCCGGAATGAAGTCCCACACTTGTTTTCTGCACCGTACCCTGTTTCTTGTTGTTGGACCTGTCACTGTTCGCCTTACCGACTGTCACCTCTCCAGTCCTTGGCCTTGTGACTCTTTTGGAAGCTTTTGGCTTCAAAAGAAAGTGCTCGACAACAAACCTCTCTGGCCTTTTTTTAATTTACCGTATTGGGTAATGTGGTATTTCAAGTGTAACTTCTGTTAGTGGATCGCTTTTCATTTTTATTATAGTCGGAGGAAAGCTGCACGTGGATACATTTCAAATGATGCTGATTTCCATTTCCTATAAAACATCAACTTATGTAACAATTTTTAGTTTGCATAAACCGGAGCATTAACCAAATGGCATTTAATCTTCTCAGTCTAAATGTTGAAGGGTAACCTCAGCTCCAGGTCTGATTAAAAGGGATTTTTCTTTTTTATTAATCTCAGGAGGTCCCAAGCGGTCAACTCCAAGTCACCGTCAGATCAGAGATTTAAAACCGCAATTGAGGCGTTTTCAACTTGTGAAATGCTCAATGAAACATCCATATTAAAAAAGATTCTTTGGTTAGAAATGCCAATTTCTTCGTCCCTAGTGTGTTTCATCACGTGCGGTCCCATCGTTTAGCTCTCAGTTTAAATGTGAAAGAAATACCTGCCGGAGTCTCAAGCGTGAGAGGCCCAAGAGTCGAGTTCCTGAGCCACTCTGGTGTCTTGACAGATTGACTCTTCATTCATTTGAGCCTGAACTCTGCGTGAACCGTTGCTTTAGGGAAAAGGGGAGCAACAGGCCAGTGCTGCTGGGGCAGGAACTGCGTGTGCAAACCCAACACCCAGTGCAAATATTGAAACTGCTGCCCCTTCACCATCAGATGAAACGGGGGGGGTCCGGCAAACGTTGATCCTCAGCCACAGAGAGCGCTGAAATGGGAAATTGTCAACTCAGTTCCTTAGATTTTAACAGGAAAAATGTGGTGGTTTGATTTAAAATGTTTCTCTCGGATTGTAAAACGCAGGATGTCATTGCAAGCTGTGTCAGATGTGTCACAGCAGAATTTGGGTAACAAATCAAGGGGGAGACCTGGCTCCCTGGAGTTTGTTGTCATGTTTAGAGCCCCTGGAGGTATTTGAAGGTGAAAAGGTCACTGGGAACCACCCTGTGTGTTGTGAAAGACACCTCTTGTCACATTATGCAAGGGGATATTGACGAGACCATTAATGGAAGAAGTTTGCAACTCAAAAACATTCATATTTAGAACAATTTATTATTTACATTCATTTAAAAAACAGATTCTGTATCTTAAAATTAAAAGTGTGATTGGACAAATGAGCTTTTTTCTTGTTTTTACAGTCTAAACATTTTCTTACATAAACAGCAAATTCAACACTTTCTTTTCGTTTTATAAACTTTATTGAGCTAAAAGAAGATTGTTGGGAAATACCTTGTAAATAAATAGTGCAAACAATGACACTGAGTACTTCAGTGCTCGAACACAAAACGCAAGAAAAGAAGGTTACAAATAACGGATGTAAAGATGTAAAGTTTCATAGAATCCCATTCAGCATTAATCCTCGCACTATGAGCACAGACATACTCACAAAGTCCACATGCATTTTTTCACAGTGTTTTAAGGTGCGACTGATACCGTCGAGAACTGGAAAGCTGCACAGGCCCACAGTCGTATTGTTTTTGTTTGTTTGTTTTAATGGAGAATCACATCACGGTTCACAGTCTTCGCCCTTCGGAGAGCTCTCGGTGCCGGTAACTTTCTCCGCAGGTGCCGCGGCTTTGACCGACACGCAGGCCGACTTCTCGCGCTTCTTCTGCTTCATCCTGCGGTTCTGAAACCAGATCTTCACCTGCGTCTCGTTGAGCTCCAGACTGGCGGCGACCTCCACCCTCCTCCCCCGCGTCAGGTACTTGTTGAAGTGGAACTCCTTCTCCAGCTCGGTCAGCTGCTTGGTGGTGAAGTTGGTGCGGATCACGTTGTGCTGGCCGGCAATGCCAAACTCCGACAGGACAGCTGTGAGGAAAGATCAATGGGTGGGTGGATGAATGGGTGCTCGAGAAAGCGAGCAGACAGACGTGGAGCTGATGGCGGTTGCATGCAAATGAAATGTGAGAAGGAATATCAACATTAGTCGCCACATATATTTTTCTTCCGATGCATTATTTGGTCATCATGCGCCAAGTGACACGTGCTTTTTACGCGGTTTACGCCGCACCGCGCGTCACGCGCCTCGTGGGTTCTCCGAATACTGCTCAATTCTCAGGATGAACCAACCTGTTTTAGGTGGATTCCTCTTCACTTTCATCCAGTCGAACGTTTTGGAGGCGTCCTCCACTTGGTCCAGGTCCTTCTCCTTGCCGTGGGGCGGTAATCTGGTGTAAACACTCTCTGGGTATTCTTGCTGCCTCTGATCTGCGTTCCCAAAGTGTAGATACTGGCTGCTCGTTGCGGCTCCGGGCCCACAGCTGTCCCCGGTGTAAGGGGGGGCCATGCTCGATCCGACGGGGGAGACCTGCGCGTGAATGAAGGCCCGGTCCTGCTCGGGCGCCAGGCCGTACTGGTGATGTCCGTACTCCAGCGCGGACCCGTACATGGAGCTCCCCGGCATGGCGAACTGCAGGTCCAGATTGACGTGCGCCTGGTGGTGCAGAGGGAGACTCGGGTTCTGGTGCGGCGCGGGAGTGGCGGCGACCAGGCGCCCGTCCGGTGCGTAACTCTCACTTGTTGCGCACGAGTTGGACGACACGTATCCATGGTTCAAATTGTGGTATCCGGCCTTGGCACCGAAGATGTTGGCTCCCCGGTTGCACACTGGGTAGTCTAAGTAGGAGTTCATCCTGGACTCGGGCCTTTTGTTTGTTCGCAACTGATCAAGACCGAGGAGTCATTAATCGGTGCTCCCTTTGCCCTAAACCTTCTAGGTAGTATGTCAAAGCTGTAAAACTGCCTTCCACTCTCATATCACCTTCCTGACACACCATGTGACCCGCTAAACGCCAATGGCGAAGGACCTGCAGCACTCTGTCAAGTCTGCGGGCTCGTCCATCAAACGGCTCGCATTTACATGACAAACGCTTCAATCAAACTCACTCATCCATCTGATAAGAACACAAACATCGGGACGCGGTGTCAGATCGCAGCGTTACGAGAGCTACAAATGTCCAGCAATGAAAATAATTACGATCTAACGTTCTAATAGTGAAATGGATTCAGTATTATATGCGTGTTATGATAACAACGGCCTTAAATATAAGGAAAATAGGGGGGTTATTTTATAGGGGGTCTTGAAGATGTCAAATGGCCCCATAGAATTGGTTATTTAACGGAAGATCAATGCCACTAAAGAAACACGCAATTAAAATGAAAAGTGTAATCTTTCTTTAAGTTTTTTTAATGAGAGATGTAGATTTTGTTGGTTTATTTAGAACAAACGTGAATTTTAAGTTTGACATGGAAATAACGATATTTAAAAAGTGTCTGTAAATGTTCCTCGGCGGCACTAAACCTGCGCGCAGACTCGGAGGCCGAAGCAGCGCGCTGGATTCGGTGATCCATCATGCGCTCTTTTTACAGATTGGCAGCTTGTGTGGCCCACTTGGCCCATAAAAAGAACAAAAGACACACTGAAGAACCAAATAAGGTTCACTTCTATTTAACGACACGGAGAATATAATCTAATCTGCCAAAATAAAACTGTCACATCCACACTCATTCCTTAAGGAGTCTGTCTGACGAGTTAATGTGATATTACAGACCCCAAGTGCTAATTAAGCGTTAACAAAAAGAAGAAGGAAACGTTGCCATTTCTTTCAAAAAAATGTAGCTGCTTTACATATTTTTCTGTAAACTGGTTGTAGAGGAGTAGGCTATCTACAGGAGAGTCTGGTGACATCTCAACAATTTGCGTTTATTTATGGAGCTGAAAAAACAGCGTGTCTCTGAAACAAGTTAACACAAATAATGTGTATTAAAACAAATACACGTGTATAAATACAAATAGATAAGACCTGAGACTAAAATTCAGATGAATTCTTCCAATAAATTATTAATAAAAACGCATGCATCAAGACCAAGCTTCTTCTATATATTAGATATAGGAAAAGTATTTTTTGTGGAGGTCCGGAGAATTCAAGTGTTCCCGCTACAGATGAGTCAGTTTGGGAGCCTGCATGATTCTGTCCTGTGTGCAGCTCTGCTGGAAATATGACCCGCTGAGATCCACATCCGGGTCTGTTGAGCGCGTGGAGGTGTGTGTGTCGTAGAGCGCGTTAACAAACTGCGGGTCGTGCCCGAAGCCTGCAGCGGGGTATTTGCAGTATTCTGCCGGGTACGGTGGTGGGGCCTTGGGCGGAGGGGAGGCCGGCTGGAAATCCCCTCCCAGATGGACGTAACCCAGGCTCGAGAGGGTGGGGCTGCCCGGGGCGGAGGGAGAGGACGGGGGAGAGGAGGACGAGGTGGTGGTGGTGGTGGTGTTGGGGCCCTGCACCCTCTCGTCCTTCTTCTGCTTCATCCTCCGGTTCTGGAACCAGATCTTGATCTGCCTCTCGTGGAGGTTGAGCAGGCCGGCCATCTCCACCCGCCGCTG